TGCTATTTTGTTATATTACACAGCCTTATGCTGGTTTACTGTTTGCAGATTGAGAGCCGATGTACCAGAGTCAAATTCCTTGTGTGTCCATCACACCTGGCCAATAAAGCTGATTCTGATTCTGATTCTGAAACTGGGCCATTTGACCATCACACACACGACCTGGGTGTTATTCTTGTGCCCACGTGGCTCACATTTCAGTTAGATCTATGCATGTGTGGCAGTTTAGGAGCTCAGCCAGGTACATGGCAGTGACACACACGGACGTGAAGCAGAAACACAACAAGACCAGAGCTGAGTGTTAAGGCTTTTGGTGTGGACACAGCCTGTGTGTGTCAGTGGGCTGGGAGAGAAGTTTGTTTTGTCCTTCTTTTCTCTTTTGTTGGCACTTACTCTGTGCAGTGACAATAGACCTGAATATGAGCAGATCTGATCCACTTCAGTATAATTTACAGTCTGAGACAGGAATAAAATCAAAGCTATAAAAAGTTTTTGTTTGCGTGTGTTGCATTGCCCCTCCAGGTGAAACGTCACAGATCAGTGATGCACCTGTGCGAAGGTGTTCTGTAAAACAGACCGTGTGAAACATCATCAGTCTTCATCTCTTCCAGGATCATTCCAGAATGGGATTGCAGAGGGTGAGGTGGACCCCACATTCGGGCCCCTGGAGGCCATGCGTCTCTCGGTGATGACAGACTCTCCAGTGTGGGTGATCCTTAGTGAGGTGAGGCAAGCTGGACATAGGACTGGACCCAGTTTAACTCTGGTGTGACACTGGATTTTACCTCTGGGAGTGTGGGGCTATATCCACATTGAACTACTGCCATTATTATTATTACTGGTGCATTCATTTGTATAATGTAATATACTCTTTCTGTTGTAGTTAGTCAAGGTAGGGATCATTAGAATGATATTCTGATGACAGGAGTTCCTGACCTGTTTAGTTCCATATAATTCTGTCAGAAGAGAAAATAGAGACGTTACTATCAGGAGTTGTCCAGTTCAGACTCGAAAAAAGTAATGTAATGATAAAAAAATAAGTATTGCACCTATTATTATTGTAATTTAATCCTCAAATTATATTAAAAAATGTTTTCATCACACAGTACGTTTTGTGTGTGAAATCTTAATTAGTAAAGTAAAAATTTGTTTAAAAAAATTGAAAGTGGCATTAACTGGAAATACTCCAGTAAAGTATAACTACATTAAACACCTCTGAGGCATTGTTGATATTGGGCTGTATCACTAACGTCTGACTTGACGACTCAAGTGCAGTACTGGAGTAAATGTACTTAGTTACTTCTGTGAAACACTGTAATGGACGTTCACACCAGTTCAACTGATTCACAGTAGTTCTTCTGGTCTTTCCTATGGCAGATCTTCATAAAAAAAGCCGAGTGAAGCCCTTCTCCCCCTCAGCGATACCTCAGCACCTCCGAGCGGTCGGCCCCGCTGACTGGGGCCTCCTCGACCGCTATCCTGCCCCCATCCTGCTCACCAGATCCTCACTGAGGTGCCACAGCGCCTCCGCCTGTTGGCACCTCGTCGTTGCAGGGCTGAACAGACTGGAAACACTGATAGTGTGGAACCTGCTTCCTGGCAAAAAGAGAAACTCCTCTGAGATGATGCTGTAATTGATCGTGAAGAATCTGTATTTAGGTGTACATAGGGAGATAGATGAAAAGTCTGGCGGGGCAGTGGCGAGAACACCACGCCACCTCTGATGATGAGCCTGCTGCTTTGACACGTACACACTCAAAGGCCTCTTTCTGTCTGGACCTTTCTACCCACGCTACATTTCTCCCACCACCCCCACAGTACCTTGTATGTGCATATATGCATAGAAATGTACACACTTTCATATGAATGCCCTGTCAGTGTGTCGGTGTGTGTCGGTAGCTGTTACTTGGGGTTTCCCACCATCCGTCAGCGATTTGCCTTAAAGATGAACAACAGGTTTATTTCTAACAAAAACAGGCCCCAGATCAAACTGTAGCGATGACAAATACCCAGAATCCTCTGCTGTGACCTCAGACCTTCTCACTTCATTGTGGCTTGAAACTACTGACAATGAGCTGGTGTGTGCTTGTTCTTTTGTTTTGTTCCTTTTTATATAGTTTAATTTTTTGTTAAAGGAGCCTTCACTCACGGCTGCTCTGTGTTCTCCCTCTGCAGTACTGTTTTCCTCTGCTGTCCTCTGTCATACTGTCGTTTTCCAGTATAGTGCAAAAACAGATTCGTTTTCTTATTTCTTTCATTAGCAGTTTTGGTAAATGGTGATAGTATAAAATTCTTTCAACCATTTATTTTTCATTTCTCATGAGACAGAATCTTTGTTGAACTGTTCCCTTAAATTACTAATTTATGTCCCTTATACAGTATATTTCTTGGTGCTCAAAAATGATTAAATTAATGTTCCCTTGTTTCGTCCACTGTCTCGCTGGGCCAAATGGTTTTAGTCCTCATTGATTTGGATCTCACATTGAGACACGGGGACATCAGGTTCTGACTGTCGGAACAGTCTCGGGACCAGATTATATTTCTAGGGTAGGGGGTTAAGTCCAGGGGCTCATTTAAGGTTTAATCTGTGCTTTGGGGTGAATTTTGCCAAAACATTTTTGCAACCAGGGCTAGATGAAACCCTTGAGGGTCCTTTGTAGTAAATATCCAATGTGGATCCCTGTTAAGTCCCCACCACCACCCCTGGTTTTGCAGAGCCCCCTACCTCTGACTTCTGAGGTTGCATGAAATTTCCACTGAGCAAATATGACCCCAGTTTGAGTCCAGAGGCCCAGAGATTATTCAGGATTCCTTCACTGGACTATACCAGCCCCATGTTTACCATTTAGTTTGTTTAAGAACTTTTAGGAACCACTGGAGTAAAATATGAAGTGTTTAAGGTGTTGAAACAAGATTTTAACCCTTGACCCCTCTATGAGACTAAAATGAATGACCTACATTATATTTTTTTGTGATTTTGTGGTGTAAATCAAAACACATGGGCTTGTGACCACAAGGTCGACAGTTTGATCCGTGGGCCAGCAGGACTATTGCCTCTAGTCAGACCCTGGACCCAGCTGCCCCAGTGGATCAGCATATCAGGCTGTAGTCCTACTGGGAAACATCCAGTGAGTGTGTGCCCCTGACCAATAACGGTTAAACAGGTGTTAGCCTTTAAACCAAATTTAGCCTGGAGACATCTTTTCACCCGCAAAGCAGCAAATCCACATTTACTGTTTTCTTCAAGTGTACAAATGGTTACTTTAAGCGAAGAGTAATAATTTAATAAGCTTTTCCCTCCACTACAACATCATCATGAGTCTGCATGATGCAGATCACCCCTCTTGTCCATACTGGGCTTCATTCGTTCATACAGGCGTCCTAATGGAAAACAGACCGAGCAGAGTTGTTCAGATATGAGGTGAACTATGAACTTCAGGAAGCATCCTGAGTTTTATTTTTGATTTGGAAGATGCACTGGAATGCATTGCTATAATCTTGTGTTTGTCTTTTGTACCCTTTAGATAAAATCTATTTAAATGATCTCAAACTTCTATTCAATCTGTGAATTGTAATAAAGACAGAAATTTAAATGAAATGTTGGTCTGTTGGTTTTCCTCAGGTCAATTCATAGTGTTGACTGAGATTTCTGGGAATGTCATCAGGTTTCATCACAGAAAAATGATGAAAACCCAGCATCACTTTACTGGTTTCTGGATAGAAACTGATTTATCACAGAAAAGCTGTGAAGTATAATTTAGTTTTAACTTCAGGCAGAAAGTTGAAGGTAAGTTTATTTCCAATAAAATACATCAGGTGACAGGAAGTGACCTTCAAAAATTTTAATCTTATTGTTATTTTCAGATTCACAATAAAAGTCTAGTCTCCAACACAACACAACAAACCATTCTGCATAATGAGTACTTTTACTTTTGGTACTTTAGCCTGATTATTTTTTATGTTAACACTTTTTTATTTTTTCTTAAGTTTTAAGTAAAAGTTCTTCCATCACTGGTAATAATTATGGCAAAAATTCATATAAAGGCGTTATATGAGTTATGCTGTATTATAATTGGTACATTATGAAAACCGTACTACATTCTACTTATAGTACTTTCAATCTCAAACAGCAGGATTATTCAGATTTATACAGCTACAGCCAATCAGCGCACACTTCCCCTGACATTTCAACCAATCATCGCTGTCCACGAGGTTCAGTTCCAGGGGGCGGGCACTGTCGTGTCTGACTGAGTTTTGCCACCGACCAATCAGCGCCTGACAGTTGACAGGAAACGTCGTGTATTCGCTCTCGGTGACCAATCAGAGAACGAGAATGGCGGTTTCTACCGTGCAATATCCCACGTGATTCTCCTCAGTAGTTTCCAGGCGGTCAGATCGGAAAGCTGAGAGAAGGTGAGTAAAGATACGGATATATGTTAGTTTTTACTGGGGTTAGCGGCCGGAGGACACTGCTTTCTCAGAAATGCTGATTTATTTTCAGTGATCAAACTTTAGTTATTTGGATAATGTCAAGTTATGGCCTGTAAAAAAATAAATAAACAAAGCATGTCTGCTGTATGCCGTTAGCATTGGGCTGAATGGCTAACTGAAGCTAATTACCCCCAGGTGAACTCGGCTAGTTAGCCTGCTGTGTTGGTCTTAACTCACCCGTTATATATGCGTTTTCCCGTTGACCTGTTTTGACGTAACGTTATATCACTAACACTCTGGTAGTGTCCTCTACAGGACAGTTCGAGTTAACTTGTCCCAGCTCCTTCTTCAGCGGGTGTGTCGTAATAGCATCGCAGCTAAGCTAAGTCAGGCTAGCTGAATCAGTTGTGTTGTTAAAAGGAGGAAGGTGAAGCTGAGATGCCAAGATGAGGCTTTCTAAAGGACATGCTGTTAAAAATAATGAACGAGCGTTTGTCACAGGTCAGTTAGCATGATCATTTTAGCACTCATGCAGTCACAAACTGATGATGTGCAACAGTCTGTATGAGACTCTGACGTTGATTTAGAATTGAAGATGAGACCATAAAATATTAGTATATGTCTAAGGTTTGTGGAAATTAAGTGCCAGTATCACACTGTGAAAATACTACACTACAAGTAATAAACCTGCCTTCGCTACCTGCCTTGCCAGTATTCAAGTGTTGTTTTAAGACGTAGCTCAAATCCCAACATTGGCTGCCGGTAATGGAGAACCTGCAGCCAGAGAATGAGCCGTTTTTTGCTTGATGCATGACTTTAATGGTTAATCAGTAATCCAGGAACTTTATTGTTAATTGACTAATTGTCTCACTACAACAGTGATGCACTTACCATTTAAAATACTTCCTTTGAACCGAATATGCCAGGTCATTGTAGAGTTACTCTACTAGTATTAACTTTACTGCAAACATAGGTTTATTTAAATGTTCAAATATACACAATAAATGTAAGGAACAGTGTTTGAAATCTTTCTGAAGGACAATACTCAATGGGCCTGTCTCATAAAACAAAACCATGAGAAGGTGCTTCAGGTTTTAGTGAGCAGGAGGTGTTGGACTTCTGGGTGTGTGATAGCAGCTGAGGATTAGTTTGACCTGTATATATATGTGTGTGTGTGTGTGTGTGTGTGTGTGTGAGACCCCAGTGAGATGTATTACACTTCACTTCATGGTGCACGAGACCAGAACAGTGAGTCAGAGTAGGGCTGCATGTAACAATTACTATCAATTTTCACAATTGATCGATCACTCATTTTCTCTCTGAAGTGTCAGCAGATAGTAGAGTTGATACTTTATTGATCCCACAGTGGGGACATTTCTGGAAGTGACATGCCCACAGTGTTTAAACTGCTTGTTTAAAATATTCAATTTACAATAAGATCAGCAGCAAATCATCACACTTAAACACTTTGAACCGGTGAGTGTTTTGGAAGTTTTGCATGAAAAAGGACCAAAACATTGCTTTGTCAAAATTACTTGACTGATCACTGCACTCTAATTCAGAAGTCTGGGACCAGGAAAGGTGTTTGATTTGCAGCTGAAAGAAAGAGAGGAAGCAGGAAGTCTTTACATGTGAGAAGCTGGAAGCAGCTATCTTGTTTATTAATTAATTTTCCTTTACTCTAACTGATAGATGCACCCTAATAAGTGTTTCTCTCTGTTTATTGTCCATAAAGAGTGGCCACACTTAGTCACATTTCACTTCAGGTCCTGTGTTACGTCCTTGGCCAAAGCTCTAGCTCAAGTTTACGTGTCAGGAGAGGGGCTGTATTTAGTCATTCCCTGATGTCAGCAGCTGAACTGGTTCAGCCTGCTGCTCTCTGTCGGGATGCTGGCTGATCTGACTTCCTGCACATAGGAAGCAGCTCTATGACAACAGTCATGTAAATGACTGTGAGAGTGAGGAGCCAAATAAGAATTAAAAACCTGACCATCCTAATTTCTTCTACTGATCTCATACTAAATGGGTTCAGACCTCTGAACTTAAAAAAAAGCAACCTGAGTAAACTGCAAACACATTTTTTTTAAGTGATAATTTTATTTATCATCCCATCTATATCACCCATGTGGGAAATTGCCCTGGAACATGAAGGTGGCATTGGCAATTCCCTCCAGAAGCATTTTTTGTTGCATATCAGGAGTTTCTTTCTTCATCCCGATGGCAATGAGCACATTAAATGCACTGACAGCATAAAGAAAAAAATCTGCCATCTGTGGCATTAGCAGGACTGAAAAGAAGCCTGACCAGCAATTTTACCCATCCCAAGTAAAACCATTGGATGGCCTACCTGCCTGTCGGCCTACTTGCGTGCAACCTGTCTTTGCACTCAATACCCGAGCCAAGAATTTCCCACAAGGCACTCTAGGTAGAGGTTGCGACTCTGCTTTGATAGCTAAAGCTAGTGAACCATAGCAGGGAAGGTACCCACAGCAGCTTTGTTCGCAAATGGAGAACGTTGTTACAGGCCAGGCCTTCCCCTTTAAGATATATGGCCTCATAGGTAATGTTGTTGCTGCTGCCAGAGGTTGCTACCTGCAGTATAAGGATAATCACCTTTATTGGCCACGTATGCTACACACAAGGAATTTGTTTCCAGTACAGAACTGATGACGGCCATCTGCAGCACCAACTCAACAGATGGCTCTAACCATCAGGGGCGGGGGGGTGTTCAGTGTCTTGCCCAAGGACACTTCGACACGTGGACTGCCGGCACCGAGATTCAAACCTTCAACCTTCCGGTTGAGAGACGACTGCTCTACCCACTGCACTATCGCCTCCCCCAGTATGAGAGCGAGAATACTGCCATAAGGGACAGACTCCTTTTACGTGGTAGTCAGCTATAAGTGTTATAGACAGGACTGTAATGCAGTTAACTGGGCACTAAAGGCCACATGCAGTGTTCATGTTACTTAGATGGAATAAGGCCTGTATTGTGGAGTTAGCTGGCCTCTCCCTTCACTTCTCCCTACCGGAAAAGCCCTGAGTTTTAAGGCTAGTTACAGCTACGAGCCAGGGCTAAAGCAGTTTAGCCATGAACCTTAGATCCCCAGCTATGGTACAGGGTCACACATCTGGGTGGGTAACACCGTACTTGAAAAGGTTACAACTAATAAGTTGGATGCTGCAAGAAGTAAAACCAGAATTAACATTGGTGCGGATTTTGAGTGACGGTGACAGCTGAGAGAACAAAAGCGGCTGCAAAGAGACGCCATGGTGGCCGTATTTCTGATGGACAGGGGATTATCTCTTTTGTTTGCACTAGTGTTCTGTATGCGTAATGTACCTTTTCCATTACTTCATTGCTGCAGTTTAAATCCAGAGTCTGTTGTATATTGTACATTACCCTAAATATCTTACTGTAACTATAAATTGTACATATTTATCGGTAAATTAGTTCTGACTGCACTGTAGATACTCGCTCTGCGCTGCTGTTCTTGCACTTCTGGTTAGATACTAAACTGCATTTCATTGCCTTGTACATGGGTAATGACAAAGTTGAATCTAATCTAGGCAGTGCACGTTGAGGAGTGGCTTTGGAGAGAAGTCAGAAGGAAAGGGTGGGATTTCTTCAGTTGGCTACTTTCAAAATCGAGCTTCCTCTCGCTGGTTTTTGCAGGATCACCAACGCTATCTTTAATCACCAGTTACATCACCTTTTGCAGCAACAATAATAATAATAATAATAATAAACTTTATTTGTACCGCACTTTCCAACTCGAGAGCACAAAGTGCTACAACAATAAAAACATAGAATACAATATCAGTTAAGAACACTCATGAACAGACAGAAGCCAAATGGATATCCCAGGACTGATATAGGGCAGCTCCTATCCAGCCGGCTCTCTCACCGGGGGCTTACCCGTGGTGGCCCAAGGACTAATACACACAATGACATATTAAAACTAGTTAAAAAAATAAATTATTAAAGGTGAC